TATTTTTCTAATGGTATTTTTTTTTAAGAAACAGAATTATTCTAATTATAAAAATTAAGTACTTTCTGATGATATACATATGTTTTTCCTGTAATATTGTTGACATAAGTTAAATTAATTGAATTGTTATATCATTAAATGTAAATGAATTTATCATGTGTGCAAGCAAAATGATACATATAATAAAATATTACCACCAAACTTGCGAGAGAGAAAAAGAGGGAGAGAGAAAATAGTCAAAAATATTCCAACTTGTCAGAGAATTAAATATGCTTTGATATTATACATAAAATGAGCAAAAAATAATTGGACAAAATAAAAGCTTTTGAAAATTTAAATACTACACATAATTATAAATTTATCTTTGTTGGTCTGCATAAGACATAAATATTTAAAAGTTCAGAGAGCTGATTATTGTTCCTCATTGTACACATATATCCATTTTTTACATTTCAAAAAAATAATCATTGTATCATTTTCACTTTACTATCAGTTATTAAATAATTTTTAATTTAGTATAGTATAATTAAGCCAAACTTAAATTTAAAATTCTTAAACTGTCATAAAATTTCTAACATTTGAATATTAATATTATACACGTTATTTTCAATATTGACTGTCCAGATTTCTTTCACTTATCATATTTAGCCATAAATAGTTAAATCGTTCAATTTTGACCACGGTCAAGTTCATGCATGCGACAAAATCGCTTAAATTTGACAAATCGTACAGATGATTTTAATATTAAATGCGAATATTTAGTGGTAGAATTAGCCAGCTTTGTGGCTACGTTCAAGAATCAAGAACGGAGAATCGCTTGTAACTATTAGCTTGCATCAAAGTAGCGGAGTTCTAGCAATCGAACCGCAAGTGGTTCTCCGCTTTCCACACTTAACCTCCTCCGGAAATTAGTTAATCGACCATGAGCTGTATTTCTACTACCATTAGCAGTCAAGTTACAAGCAATTATTTAATCTCCTAATAGGAAAAAAGGATTTTTTTTTTAAATTAGAAGCGAAAGAATGATAACAACGTACAAAAAGCAAGCAATTTCAAAAAATACGCAAATAATTTTCAAAGACTTTATTTTGCTTAATTTATTCTCTATTATGGCATATTTTTATATTTATAAGAAAATCCCGCATATTATAGTAACTATATAACTTTAATGATTTTTTTTACTTCTTAGTTTCTCGTGTCTTTTTTATACTCTTGACATGTCGTATGAGCGTAACGAACACAAAGATAGAAAGTCTGGAAGCGCAATTAAGACAAAACGCAATTATAATAATTTGCAGGATACGTTTACATCGATAACACAAAAGAAGAGAGTGTTCAGAGTAAATCATCTCCAAAATCATGTCGCAATTCTTATTGAAAGTGATGTAGCATTTTGCTTTTATTGAGTATAATAAGACATGTAGAGCGCATTATTTATGCCCAAAATAAATTTTCCGCGACCTGTGTGTTTTTAATAACGTGAAAACAAAATTTCACTCACTGTCTAGATCCGCGAGAATTGCTTCGCTAGCTACGTCCAAGCTTCTCGTAAGGCATTTTCGTATTTGTAACGTAGTATCCGTGTGGTAGTCCTTTAAATCCTGTAACGCCGTCTCTACCGTTATAGGCAACTTCTCGATCCCAGCCGCCAACGCCTCGTTGCATATTATCATTGTCACCATGCAAGACCTGTGAACCACGCATCAAGGATTATGAATAACGTAGCGAGTGCTTGCTTTAGGTAAAAGGTTTTCCAGCGTCATAGCGAAATGAATAGCTAGATATATATACCTACTTAGGCCGCCCTTTCCCTTCTTCCTATCTTCATTTATTTTCGTCATACTTCTTCATCTAATATTAATATAGTCACATTTTTTTCTAATGCAAATATTGTATATATATAAAATATAATTATTGCATATGAATGTATATTTTAATTTCTTATCTTCACTATTAATTCTGACGATTATTAAAAATAAAGAATAAAAATAATTGTGCATTTATGTCAAGCATAAAGTAATAAAGAAATGTGTATCATTAATTGAACAAATCAATGTAATCACGAAAATTTGATCGTCTTTCTAAATTTGTGACATGATTACGTACTCACGAAATGTAATCAAGAAGGACAGAAGAATCAGGGAACACGAGTAAGGTTGGAAGTGACGGTCATAAGTTCTGAGAGCGGTATCTAAGAACGAGAAAATCGTCATGGATCCTACCCGAGTATAAAGGCGAAAACGGCGAGGAGAAATGCGAGAACACCGGGATGCTGAGAAGGTTTATAATCCTGTCTGATTGGTCGACAGGCGAGCCAAAGTTCTGTGCCAGGAATTATACAGGCCAGTACGCAGCACACGGCTGCTAAGCCCAGAAAAGCTGCTTCCACATGCAAAGACTGTAAAAGTTACGACGAGGCTTGTGAGAAACTTAACAGTAATATCCGCATGACGTTAGATCGCAACGATTATATATCGCACACATCGCGTCGCGGAAAGCTCTCTCTTCCCGAAATAAGGCAAAGAGCATCGAGAGAACAGCGGCGAGGCTCTAATGAAGACTTTCTTTAATGAACTATTCCATTGTTCATCAGTAGCTAAATATCTCTAGCTTCTCAGCGTGATTTTGCCTTACCTCTGAAATCAATTTAATGGTGCTTATGCGGTTTTCCACAGCATCTGCCAGTAAATCTGTAAAGAGCGAGAAGGATTATAATTCTCTCTCTGCTAATTGGAAGGAAGACGCTAATTGTTCGATAGTATCGAGAAATCTATTAAATTACTCGCTGAACCAAGAGCTATTAAACGGTAGGATAAAAATATTGAATGTTGCTTTCTATACAGATAGATATCCTTTAAGGTAAAAGTACCGATTGCCGGACATGTCCCTATATCCGGACATTTACATGAAAATTTATCATATATAAACAGTTTTTTTTTTTAAATAGTCCTGCATTTAAAAATAATCCATTATGCAGACATATGTATTCGAGATATTTCACGCTGAAAATTCATGTGCATTTTATATAATATACTAGGAATTAACATATGCGTTACATTTCTTGGAATTATATAACAACGTTTCGAAACACTGTCATGCTTAAAAAAAAAAAAAATTGAGATATAGAATGTTATTAATAAACCTTAGCAAAAATAGAATTGTGATCTTATATATTTTAAAGATGATTAAGAGATAATGGGAAACAAATATCTAAAAAAGTTTAGTTTTATTGTACATGTAACATTAAAAAAGAGATAAATATAAATTTTGATGATGCAAAATAAATAAAAAATTTATAGTTGTTGCATTTGTATGAATTCTTCTGACATCAATTTATAAAACTTTAATTATAAAAACATTAATTATAAAAACATCAAAATGCACTTTTATAAAACAGATTTGTATTTTTCCAGCTTTCACGTTAAAACACGATTTAACTTAGTCTGGTTTGTTTACCTTCAAAGTTATAATATGCCTTGAACACATCACTGTTACTGAACGATATATAGATATGAATATAGATATATAGAGTGTAAAGAGATAAGGGAAAACATGGAGAGCAAAAGAGAGAAGAAGAACACTCAGCAGAGATAATGCGCACGTTATGAATCTACAAAAAGAGTATTTTCTTCAAAACTTCACTTTTTTATTCCATCTTCCACTTGCTCGATATTGGCTTTATGTCGAAATAATGTCTATGAAATATTACATAGAGTCCAAAAAATTTTAAAAGTTTGATATTGTCGACTTCTCGAAGTATGCAGCGTTCAAAACAAATTTTATATAATATTTCTCCCTATATGAGAGAAATCTATTCTTAACTTTTTCTTTGTTCCCCAATTTACGATCTAAGTCGGCTTTCTTTGACGTTATTCCTTCCGCGAAAGTTTTCAAATTATACGAAGTGCTGATATCGGTGGTTGTAAGAGTGAGAGCTTGTTACATATTGGTAAAACATATATATATATATATATATATCCCTTTCCAAAATACATATCCCTTTTTCTCTCGGACTTATTTTTTTTTAAATCCATAAGATTTTCCTTTGTTCGTTTGCTTTAAACTAGTCGAAATATGCGGAACGTGTTTTGCGCAACGTCAAACTACAGCTGGACTTATCAGCATTTGCTACGGTTTAATCGCGGCGAAGATTCACCAAGGTTCCCGCGTTTCTTTATCTTTCTCTTCCATTGTTTGCGGCAGTAGATTGCGTTCTTCCCGATTGCCGTCTGAATTTCTGCGATGGAAATTATTCCATGAATGAGCAAACGCATCTATTCGTACAAAGCTTTGAAATTAATCAGAGAAATTGTGTCGAATATGTTGGAGCAACACACATAATGCAATCATTATTACAAATTCAATTTAATTATTATGACGTAATAATAAAAATATTAATATAAAAATATAATTATTGCTAAATTAATGTACAATTAAGATGAAACATTGGCAAATTAGTACCGAGTGCTCGAAAAGCTATTGATGCGCTTAAACTCTATGGTGGAAAACTTTTTATCTCAGAGAGTAAATTAAATAGTACGTAAATAATAGAAGAATTAAGAGAAATCTTTGAAATATATATACGTTGTATATATATCTTTGTTTTCGCAAATTAGCGAGTTATACCGTGAAATGGCAATTATTCGTGTCATTTATTACTTTCCCAAAAGCTGCATAAGCCATTTATTCAGCTTAACTCACGTCATTTCGCATAACATTCAGAGAAACCTGGCGTTGAAGGGACTAATTTAGCTTTCTTCGAGTACGCGAGCTCTTTGGCGAAGTTTCTGCGCTGAAGTGTCGTCGCGATCTCAACGTGTCGTCGCGCGTGCTATAACGTATCATAATACATGACATCAATGCCGGAAAGTTTTCTGATGCTATATAGCGCATCGTTCTCTCTTCCCTTCCAGCCGCCTCCCATTTTGATTCTTCTCAGAACCAAATAGTTATACGCTCAACTAAATTCTGCAGGATCCACATTTGTGACCCTTCCCAAGCACGTTTGACTGCGACTGACTTGTATTGAAAAAAGCTATCCGTATTGAGAACACAGATCTCGCGACTTTTTCCGATATAATATCAATTCGGAGAACGGAATGGTGAATTTTCTACCTACGGTTACGAGCATCCAATGTGGTCCGGGCGATGTGATGCGGTACGTGGAGGTATTCTCCGCGAGCTCGTCGTCCTGCTTCCGTCAAATTTCCCTGACTGATGTTCCGTAGACGTAGCAAACGATCGTCTTTCAATAGCTGCGATAAAAAGTATACATAGTGTCTCAGGATAAGCGAATCAAATTTTGATAGAAGAGTTTTTGATTGTTTTATTATCAGCCTCTTTCCAAATCTCGAGACAAATAGTATATATATATTGTATATATGTGTGCAATTTTTCTTAATATTTCACCCTATAAAAAAAGATATTAAATTTTAACATTGATATTTAATTTGTGTTTATTCTGAGTCAATCTGTACAAAGACAATATAACAATAGAATGATTATACGAGAGCGCAAAATGTATCGATACCATGTCAGAGATCAACAAATTTGCTGAAATAGTAAATTTGATGTTTTTTACGAAGTAGCGATGTATTTGAATACACATATTGTATGCGAGAAAGTGAATTTTAAGAAAAAATTGAGAAAATAGAATGAGTGATAAATGAGATAGAAAAGCGGAAGTTGCGAAAGAATAACATCGTTATTATCGTGTAACGTGGTTGAATTCATTCGCTAACCATGAGAAAAATGGGTGTACTTGAACCTAGAAGTGTTATGTGTATTCGCATGTACATGCATGAGAATATGTGAAATTCCGTGACTAACGAAAGATAAAGAGAGATCCTTGAAAAATTTCCGCTGCAGTTCTCTTATGTCCTGCAAAATTCTAGGTTGCCAATTTAAACAATCATTGTTTTTTATTTAAAATTTATATCAGCATTTTGAATATATGCAGAGCAAAGTAAAACTAGCAAATTATTTTGCAGGAACTGTAAAAAAGTAAAAATTACTGCTTTTTATAATTACGGTGTTATGTTTTGGTAATTCAACATTATAAATAACAACAAAAATGTGGAATAAATACAGGAAAAAAATGAAACATGTTACAGATGGAACATGAGAGACGAATACAAAAAGAAATACAAACAACGAGCAAAAATTTAATTAAAAGATAATGGTAAATATTGCTATAGCTGTTTCAAACAAATGTAAACTGCCATATGTAATTTACTAGTATCGTTACATGTCCGGCTATTGGGACGTTTACCTTAATTAGAATTCGCAATTATCTATAAAAATCCGTCGATCATGGAATTGAAAACTATGACAAACAAACGTTCAAACGCATGAATCGAGCTATTGCAACACACGTTTGATATGTGCACTCAAAATGTTTTCCTTTTTTTTTTTTTTTTCATTGAAATATGAATTATTGATACAACTAAATACTTCACAAAATATTGATTATTCGAATCTAAAACACATCTGTCGAAGCATACGTATGTCTTTTAAAAACTTATACGAGCTTATTAAAACTGATCGCAGGAATAATTTTTTATCACCTTACCGATCGGTATGTCATAAGGTTGTACAAAGGACAGGAAGCCTCTGAAGTAATCGAAGACGAACCATCCCTTATCGAGATGCAAACTTGCCATCTTGTAACGCTCCTCCATGGCAAATTTCGGGAACTTCAGTTTCGGTTTCTCATCCCAGTCTCTGGATGAGGTCAACGTTCCCGGATGTGATATGTTCGAGTTGTTCCTCGTATCGTCAAGGAGCACGTTCGTCGCCATCATGTCCATTCCGCTCTCCTGTGTCTCGTTTGAGGAACGAAAAATGAGGAAGGTGTCGGTGGTCGAGCAATTGTTACCACCCGGGGTCGAATCAGTTGAGACTGATTCTTGAAGCGTGTACGCCCTCGAGGTAGCGATGACCAGAAGGAAGACTGTAAGTTTTAGAGAAGTGGATGCTGTAGCAATTTGTTGCTTCCGCGCAAATCGAGACGATAATAATAATTTATTGAGTTTTAAAAATTAATAAATTGTAGACATTATTTCAATAGTAAATATTATTTAACATATAGTTTAAAACTTTATAAGTATTCATAATTATTTTTCATAGTTTATAATTTTATAAGAGTATTCACAATATCATCGTTTTTTTATCTAGTAACGTAAATGTATTTCAATACATTATATTCGCGATAGATATATAATTAATAATTATAATTAATATTTGTTAACAAAATTTTAAGAAAAGATTTATATAATTATATATTGTTTAGATACATTTATTTTAACACATGACATTTTTCACTCAAAAAAATAACTAAATAAAGATAACATTTACGTACATCTATAATTCATGGAGCCTAATTACTCTGTTAGCTATTTCTACTAGCGAGTATAATAAGCAAATAATTGTTTAATAGTATAATAGTTTAACAATACAAAGAGCAAGTATATATAATGTTGTATTTTATATGTAACTGCTAATTATAATTGTTAATTAAATCTTCCAATTGAATTTTATCTATTTGTATCTATTTAAACAAATTTTGCTGTAGATGAATAAAATATCTACATACAAAAGCGTGATAAAAATCTGCCGCAAATCAAATCGTTTATTCGATGCGAACGCATTAGACCGAACCAACGTCAATCGTAAAGTTTATTCACCCGTTCTATCCGTAGATCCAAGCGAATCCCCGAAGAGTCAATGACAGCACAAAGAGAACGATCTGGACCCGAGCATGCTCTCACCGCACCTTCCAAGTCTCGTCGTATCTCGTCCGTTTCCCTACTCAATTCCAATCCGAGTTCGTGAGCTTTCTCACCCTCCCTGAGCAAAGATTCAGTTCTGGCAGATAACTCTTGCGTCGCTGAAACATGCGATACGATACCATTAACGTCGTATATATCCTGTATTCACTGTTCTTATGTTCGGTTACCTAACACCCGGAGAAATTGACACAGAGAAGTTACTCAAGTTTACAGTGTGGAAATCAAACCCACCGAAATAATATCTGCTTCTATTCAGAAGAACAGTTCTGAGGAACATTACTAACATTGATACATGTCGAGCACACACACACACACACACACATGCAATGCACATATATTAATAAGAGATAAACTTGGGATATAGATCATGAAAGATACAAACATACATCACTAATTTGAGATTTCCGTAATCTAATAACAAGCATTTATCTTCGTCCGTTTGATAATAATCGAGATCGATAGTGTTAATAATCCTAGATCGAACTTTCAATATACTGTGTACTCAAATAGGTTATCAAACTATTAGCCGACAACTGAAAGTAATAACGCGCGGTGTAACGAAGCAATTTATAAGATGCTGCCACTCGCCTATTAATATATTAGACTTCGTCTACACTGATGGGAAATATAAGACAGTGATAGTGTGTCTTGTATCATGTCTCCGAACATTTGCCTTCACCGTAATAAGTTTCATTACTTGAATTAATTCTACTACAAACGCACACCGTCGTGCAAAATCCTCGAGTCATACCCCATGGCTATGTCTTTAGAGCTTTAGATGAACTATACGGCGTATGCTACAAATTTATTATTGCGCACGACATAGTATATCTAAAAAAAAGTTGAAAAAAATGATAGTAATATAAAGCATTTTATATATATATAGTGCGTTTGAAAAACGGATATAATATTTAATATTTATCAGGCAACGGTAAAGTCTTTAAGAACTTCATCTCGCAGTTGAAATCTTCTTTAATTAAAACTTTCGGACGATGGTGCATACAACTTTGCCTTTCTTATTTATATTGGCTCAATATGGGTAACCCGTTATTTGTTCCGAATTTTACTTTGTAGTAAATTCATGTATACTTTTCGAAAATTTTCTTAACGCTATATAATTTTTATATTTTCGAATAGATTAATGAAAACTATATAAGTAGAAAGCATCAATACAAAAAGAGAGAGAGAGAGAGAGGAGGAGGAGGAAAGAGAAAGAGAGAGAGAGAAAGACGTGTTTATTTTAAAATATAACTTATTTTCTTGCTACTTTTATTGATAATTCTTTTAAATAAATTATGGGATAATTTTTTTGAAACACCCGGTAGAGAGCACCAAGCATAGCGTGTACGTATGGTACACGTGTAGTGATTACGCGAGGGGTTGCTCGAAAGGAGATAGCAAGAGCGAGAGAGACGTAGTTGTGGTAGTACCTGCTAATTTAGTTAGTATACTGTTAGTAACTTAGTATCCTGACTAAGTGACACTCTAGATCGAGGAGGTCATTTAACGACGGGAAATTCTCTTGAAGACCGAATGATCTTACTAGAAACAACCTAAATCACCCCTGACATCGAATTAATTTGCGGCCCCAAAAATAACGTTTACATATGTTCCTCGTACAGATGTATTAATTAAACACGTTTGATTAATCAGATGGTATCAACTACTCGAGATCGATAATATATATGTTTATTGACAGGAAAGTTTTCAGTATGTGTTTGACTTTCAAAGTAATTAAAATTAACGTACTCCATTTCTTTGACATAATCATTTATTTAATTTTATTTAGCGTTAATATAAACGATGCGACACTCATTCTATATTGAAATGTTAAATCGTTAGTGTTAAATGAATGTTGTCGCATGATGCGTCACAGAATGCAGTGAATCCAAAGGAGTCGTCAGATTTATTATGACCACGCGCAATTCGCGAGGCAACAACGAGTGAACGACGTGGTCGCTTCTCCATACGGAACGTGCAATTCGACGCATAAATTAATATACGTACGACGAACACGCGCAACGCGTAGATATTGCAGTTATGAATATGCAAACATTCCGGAGTGCATCGCCACCTTCCGACAAACGAACTATAATATTAGCACGGAGTATTCCCAGTAATATCTATTGCACCAGATACATAACACTTGAAGTTATAAATATCTTAAGCTAATTTTTTGCGCTCTAAAGAATTTGATAATAAGATAAAAAAAAAAGAGTATATTTATCTACTTATAAATTGTGGCTGTCAATTAATCGTTGTCGCAAACCGCAGAATTTTAATCTCGTCATTATTTGAGATTATATATCGCAGAATTTTAGATAGAATAATTTGTGTTGCAATGTATTTAGTTAGGCTTAGAAATTTAAATACAGTTAGAAATTAAAAATAGCTTGAGAAATTTCATCTGATATTATGCAATTTCGATTTTATATATATATTATATATTATTCTTTCTGTTCTTTTTTATTTCTTGTTCGTTTTATTACAACTTACCATTTGCCAAATCAACGAGTGCATCCAATGCCACGTCCAGTCCAGTCTCAGCCGAGAGTTCAGTCTGAACAGGTTTGCCCAACAATTCCTCGACATCTGTAAAACACAAGCAAAATATTATTAGACAGTCTATCTTTATTCCAAGGCTATTTTTTATTAACGTAGAAACATTACATGTGCTTATACAAACTCAGACCAGTTTTACATTCTAGAGGACTTCAGATAATATATCGTTGTCCCGTCAAAGAATTGTCTGCCAATCACAGTTGAAAATTCCACAAAGAGAAATTGTTAGGATATCATAACAATATCAAAACGAATACATAAAGGACCGTAATAGAGTAAAAATGGGAAATGGATCGTTAAAAATACATTGTTAAAAATGGATCGCGATCGCCTCGGGCTACCAAACATACATACAATATATAGACGCGATATTGTAAATTCCGTCACGTCGATGCGTGGCAGTAATAATTTATCCACCCTGTATCCGCATCAGTTATCGTTATCTGATAGGTATTTCGGGCCAATGTGCAGGTGGTTTGATAATGCAGATCTTTAATAGCATCGCGCAAAATCCCTCTGATAACAATTAAAAATATCTCTTTAATACAAATTAGAGTCCAGAAATTTGTAGACAGAATAGATGGTAGAAAATTCAATATAAACAATATCATCGATATAAATGTTGCGAGACACATTGGACAATACTTTGTAATCTCGAGTTTAATATCACGGTATCAATAGCCGGAAATCTAATTCCCTATTATGATATATATCTTTAGTATATAGAATCCGAAAAAAACGACACGTATAGTCACATTGCTGATAAACCCGTATCATTGTCGTTCCACTTGGTCCGCGGTACGTGATCTGAAATCAAGACTGGACGCCAGTGTATATGCGCGCGAGCTTTGTGGTGGCAAACACGCATAGTGTCCAGCAGTTGCATTGCACTAACGAGCTCAATTTGCTCAAGATTGTTAATGTGCAGGCGACAATGGGCCCATTAAGCGACGATTATAGACTGTCGATAGCTTTCATTAGATGCATATGCGTCTCTAGTTGAGGGAAACGTCATTAAATGATGGTGCCGGACATTGGCGCTTTGCCTAGATAATTCATGTATTAGCTGAAAATATAGTCTGAACTTACTAAATAGTTTTATATATATATATATATATATATATATAATTTAACATTATCTATATATTTACTCTTATAATATTAGATTAAACTTTCTACTAAGCCTGTCTGTTAAGAAGTAAGGAATGCAAGACATTATATCTATTCAGGATGTTAAATGCGTTTCTCCACTGACATAGACGACTTTGCCCTTTCCTCTATCCTCTTTATTAATGTTATTCCATGATATGCGCTTGAAGCCAGATTGCACTGCCTCAAGTTACGTTTAAATAGCACTGAAATTGAAATTCCAACTAATGCTCTCTGAAGATCAAACATCACAGCTTCTTAAGTCGTAAATAGGATTATATAACGTTGCGATATTATTAAAAAAAGTGTCTATTTAAAAGATACTATTAAAACTCTCTGATACGTAACTCTTATTTTTATTTAATAATTTGACTGTTGCATTAAAATTAGCTATGTTTAAAAAGATCTTGTCAGCAAATTGTCCAGCGGTTTCCTCGTTTCAATTTTATTTATTTTATGACAAATCATATTTCTTTTGTGTGGCAATTGATTTTAACTCTAAATTCATTACAAGAAATACTAAAAATTAAATAAAAAATATTATAACTACAGATTACAAAGCACAATACAGTTTATAAAGCACAGAGAAATAGATTTGCAATTTATTCTGTGTGAAACTGACACTTTTTGTCGACAAAACACTATCAGACTAAAGCGTCGTTTCTTTTTATTTCTTCGTCAATTTTTTTCAAGAACAACAATTTTAATACGTATTAAAAAGTATCTTTAGACGGCAAGAAAAGATGCAAGCAAGATGTAAAATACTCATGCCTTGGATTACGATCATTTTTCAATTGGATGCCGTTTTCCTCCATACAATAATCAACACTAACAACAATTGCGTCTCTATCGAATCGCGGTTACTGGCAGACTGTCATTGACTAGTATTTGTAGAGGCTTCCGTGAAGTCCCGCAAGTATCGATGTTGTCGAACCCTGAGAAGACAACGAATTAAACGGGGGTTGAATAAACGAGACTAGACGGTATCGATAGAGCTAAGAAATTGTATGAGAACGAGCGCAATGTAATTAGTTTATGCAAAATTTAGCAGACAACAATATCAAAATAAAAACGTGTTATAAGAATGAGAAATTATGACAATATAATGTATTTAATATATATTCGTATTAATTAGTAGTTTAAATTGTAAGCGAATTTAGAAGCAGTCATAAACAAAAAAATTAAACCAGATTAAGTTTTTGGCACTTTGTAATATATTGTGCAAGTATTCGGATATAGATTGAAAAATGTTATGCAACATTTGTGTTTCCGTTAAATTAAGCGCGTAATCGCTGACTCAGGCACCAACAGTTGCTCAGTAACGATAAATACACTCCAAATAAGGTTTTACGTAACAAACAAAAATTAGTTTTCGCTTAATTTGTCTAACATCGAACCATATAATCTTAACTTCCTAATCTGATGCAAACCGTAATTTTTGTGCGATATATATTAATGGAATGTTAATGCACTACTGGGTACAATTTATATCGTTTCTAGTCGAAAACAAGCCTGCCCGAAAGAAGCTTGGAATAAAAGATGAATCTTATCGAACGAAAGTTAGTGAAACTTATCAATAAAGTTTTTACTTTAACAGTTTGTTACACAGGTTGTCTAGCAACAAAAAATTAATGAGATCTTTATCTCTCAATTTCTTCAATCAGAAACTTAAAACGATAAAATGCTGCACAACATTTCTGTATCTTTATAATTAGAAAGTTTTTGATTATTTAAAAATGTTATAATATTTCTTGAATAAAAAAGGCATATCTCTAGAGACATTTACTTATTTTGAAATTTTAAATTTATATTATAAGATAGAATAATAATTATTATAGATATTTTATAATTTTAATTTTAATTCATTTTATTCCCTCCGTAGTTCTCTCCGTCTACTATATAATCAATGAGATACTAGAAAAAGATGGAACGATATAAACTTCCAATTTCCCGATATAAATATATATGTTAGGAATATCACATCACTGTTTTAAATATAAATTTTACTTTAATTGAAATGTAAGAAAGCACTCATGTAAAAGGCAAAAGGTTGAATTTCGTTGCCCGGAGGGATTAAATATATCTTCTCAGATGTGATCCATTCACGTACGTACTTGTACGTACTGTACGTGGCTGTTCTACTGATAAGAGCCTTAAGGCACGACAAAATGGTAGATATTTGCGTAAAGAAAATGCAGGAAAGAAATAAGAATAAGGTTTTTTCCATAACTTTACAAAAACATGCAAAACGTCACAATAATGTAAAGTCGTATCGATCATGTTGAGTACATTTTTAGACGATTTATATATATAATGCTCTTTATTAAATATATTCTTTACAAACGCGCAAACTTTTCAGCATTTTATCCCGACGACTTCGTTTCGCTCGCTATTTACTTGTGAAGATGAAGAGATGAATACTGGCTTATGCTGAAGCGACTACGTCTGTATAGCGATAATCCCCCGAAGAACGAGGATCAGTCGATTGTAATCTGTCTTATTGTTCACTGATTTTTTTGTTACGAAATCACAGAATTGAAACATCCTTTCGTGAATTACAGATAAACGACTGACTTGCGAAAATTTCTTCTCAAACCTCTTGCCGATGATTCACGATCCATCAAATCTGTCCAATTATCGATGGATTTTATATTCGTGAAATATTCTCGCGGAATAACTTGGAAAGTATTCCGAGGGTACGAAGAATGTACTAATAGCTGGAATTTTCGTTTTCTCGTCGGTTGTCCATTTTGCGTCTTATTAGATAGCGCTGTGAGATTCATTATGGCTCCATCCGTGCAGTATAGTGAAAAACATTGCAAGTATGTACCACTTAAATGTAGTCAAGGGATGAGAAATAAACTATCTCATTCCCACTGATCTTTCAATATTAAATGTAATTTCGCAAATCTTGTCTAGAAACTTTAGACATGTTCTTACTTCAATATTTGCTCACTTATCACAAAAGTTTGTTGAACTGTGACTGCATATTTGCATACAGAAAATTGATATATATATAAAATGAGATAAAAGAAATGATTAATTATATTAATTCTAATATTATCACATATAAAATTTTGTGCATTTGCAAAATTCTTTTTATGTATATTTGCAAAATTCTATTTTTTTTTTTTGTTTATTTGCAAAGTTTTGCATGTATTTTAAGTATTTTTAATTTTGTAGTCCTTTCTCAGTGATGCTGTCTTTTTTTGATCCGAGATCGCAAATTATTGTATGATATCAAAAAGGAAAAATAATGTATTAAAATACAAGCTCGACATATATTTGTCAAATATGTTACCATTGAAAATATGTAATAAACACGATTAAAATAATATTAATGCGGTATTTAAAATGTCATGCTACTATGGCTGCGTTCCGATATTAACTGCTAGTACTGAAAACGTGTAGTTTACGTCACATATACTATAGATTTTCAATACTGGCAGTGAATATTGAAATGCAGCCTGTGTGTGCATATTCAGTAGTTCTATTTAAATTTTTTCCTTTCGCGAAATCTGAATCGCTGCGCAATTTAATCCTTTTTCTTCGACCGATAGCTCCCGTTTCTGCACGGTTAGACTTGTGTGGACGAATGACGATTCTAAAGATTCGAATTCACTATAGTTGCTTCCAGTATGTGGTACTAGAATTGGGTTGGCTTCCTAACAGCGGTGCCCAACCGTGGTTAAATCATGGCGGACAAAGCGCGAGATTACTTTCGCCGATGGCAAATGACTGGGTGCTTGGCACTAGACTTCTTCCATCAGTGAATAGGCTCTTTTACTGTTACACGAAGGTGTATACTTGGTCTCTTAATTGGCTGTACCGTAATGCGCGTCCCATTTCTCAAAGCAATTCTCTTCCAAAATACGGCTAATTGTACGATATGGCTGTGAGTAAATATTTCCAAACTTTAAAGTTCCAATGTTGTAATATTTTGTATCAAAAACGGATGCATCGCGGGGCTCAATTTAATATACTGAGCATCTTATGTAAACCAGTAAAGTTAATACAGATGATACAGACATAGCTTTCTTTTATATGCATATAACTTTTACTTACAAATATTTAAAAAAAAATATATTTTTTTATACAATTTATTATATGTATGCTGTATAAATAGCTATTGCTATAATATGTGTATAATAAGATAATAATAATATTTTTTAAATATCGTACATATCTTTCTTTTATATTCGTATTAATATTATGTCATAAAAAAATAAACATAAATATTGTTCTATTATGATTATAATGTTTGACTTTTTCTTTTTTAAGAGTATAATGTAACATTTGGAAAACAGTGTGCAAAGTGCGATATATCAAACAAAGTTTAAAATGGCTCATTTATTGTACGTAAAATGGTCAGAAATATATCATAAGTCTACTAAGGATAGCAAGTACTAGAGAGCAATTATTAATGTGTATGAGTATTATCATACGTTATTATAATATATATCTCTCTGTAAACATTATACATGTTTACAAAATTTCTATAAAATATCAGCTGTTACATATAATGCATTTTTGTTAAAAATTACATAATTATAGAGAATAATTTATAAAGAAAATAATAAATTATATGTAATAACTGATATTTTATAGAAATTTTGCAACATGTATAATGTTTACAGAGAGAAATACATATATATAAAAAAAAATGGACGATAGCATAAGTTAATTAATTGATTGCATTATAAATTCAAAAACAATCTAAAAAGATCGAAGTGTTTTCCGGATATACTTCGATTCCCTAAAATAAGCTTTGTTAGTCGCACGTTCCGTATCCGCCGTGCCATAGTCGTCAAAAGTGTGTCGCGTTTCCCTCTTGCATGTCGAAGATCGCGCGCGATCAACCGAGAACGAAGATACATAGAGGGTGTCCGCGAGTGCGTGGGTGGATGGATTTTGGCACAGCGGGAGTGTGTCGGTACAGTTAGAAGATCGGGAGACTGGCTGCATTCTCTCTCCCTTTCTCTCTTTCTCCCTCTCTCTCTCTCTCTCTCTCTCTCTTTCATTCTCTCCCTTCTTCTCCCACCTTTCATCTCTGTCTCGTATTCTCTTTCTCTCTTACTCAGCGCGACTACTGTCGGGAGCACCCAGGCGGGCAGTCAGTGCGTCGTCAGCCTCCGCGTCGTCGCGACGCTCCTCTCTCTATCTCTCTTTCTTTCTCTTTCTCGTTCCTCTCGGCTCTCTCGGTGGCGTCCGTAGCATCGCGACGCGTTCCGTCGATTATTCCATCGAAAGGGAGACGCCGTTATTAATTTCCCTACGATAAATACAAGCCACACGAACTTGATCATTGAAAACGATCGCAATATAAGCGGATATATAACAAATAATAATAAAACAAGTATTCATCGCTATTATTCGAAAGTGTTTCCTTCGATCCACACGCAACCAGAAAAGGTATTGATAATCATAATGTTAATTTTAAAAAATATAAAAATCTCTTATATTTTGCACTTTGTATAATCTTTTTTTTATCATGGAAAAGTTTATCAAGAATACATGAAAAGTCTTTAATGGTATATGATAAATATCGGGATACTTGAAAATTTGAAATAATAAATTTTTATTTGCGATTAAATTATGTTTTAAAAAGATTATTTTGCACGAGAAAAAGTTTTTAGAAAATTACAGCTTTGAGAAAACACTGTGTAAGTTATAATATTCACAGAAGATTGGAAGAACTGTCCACTCATAAAAAATTTCTTTCTTCTTTCTTACTTTTCGTTACATATTTTATATTGAAGGAAATGCAATTCACAATTTATTACACCGGCATAAAAAAACTCTTTGTCTTAAACAAAAAGAGAAAGAGGAGAACGCGAGATTGAATGATGGTAGTACATGCATTTCCTATAGAGGAGTTATTAGAGGCGATGGGGCGCCTTTTTTGTGTCAGAAGGGTGAAAAGGGAAGCCAAATCGTGAAGTTTTACTAGACGTGATCCATCTTGGTGTTCCGATGAAGTGATCTATCGATTCTTGTCGTGGAACATATCAATCCCTCAAGATTCTTCGTCTCCAAAAGTCACGCACGAGCGTTTTTTCACCCTTTGCTTTCCGGAGCGTGGCGCACTCACTCAAGCCTTATCGACACTCGTGGATTTACTACTGCCGAAGTACGTATCTAATTGCAGCAATTGAAGTTGAATCCCTTTATTTTGCATACTTTTCGGAATAGGACAACAGAATAAAATAGAGAGAAACGTTTTTCTATTAGCTTTACAAAAAAGAAGTAATATTGTTTTTATTTCACCATCAAGAGATGCATTTTTTGTCCCATGATATATCGTAAAAGCAGGAAATAAATTGATATTTGTGCCTCCTACCAGTTTAGCCACGTATTTGTAAATATATGTAACAATCGTATGCGTGAAAATATGAAATAATAACAAAATAAAATTGTGATAAGTTTACAGTAAAATATAGATGCGTTTGCAGCTTATTAAAATCGAAAATTCCGGGATATAATTTCTATTAAAATTTGATATTTCTAAAAATCGCTATACCTATCTGGTTGATACTGTCTTAAAAGCGTTTATCATCATATCTTTCCGTTTGATTGGAATTGCAATAGAGCGTCTAAAAATGCAATTAAAATAATAAATAACACCGCGTGCATCGTTTGTGATATATAATTCGTAAGAAATTACAAAAACCAGAAGTTTCTGTTTATACCTTTCTACGAAACAAGTTAATGGAGTAGTTTTATATTAATGTATGTTAATGGAGTAATTGTATGACTGATATATCCAAAATATTATAATATTAATGTCAATGTCACTAATAAAATCTTCTTTCTTATGATATTTAAATCAATCAATGGTTAACGATATTTAAATCGATCAGTATTTTATCAATAGTTAAAATAATAGGTTGTATAAACTAACATTGATTCTATGTTGTTTGAAAATTCCACCTGTGCCAATATTGTTCCACTTTAAAAACAAGTAGAGTTGTGCAAATTAAAAACTTGCACATTGCTTTCTCATCATTTTATCTTACAATGCTCACCAAATTCAGTAGCAACCATCCTTTAATAATACTTTATCCATGTAAAAAAATTTAACCTGATATCTCAAAATTTGTGAAAGTTACAATGTATACAGACATTTCTCAAAAAATTAAAAATTTTATAAAAAATGAACCTTTTCATCGATTCTCACCAAATTCAATACCAACCATCTTTGAATGATACCCTATCCATGTAAAAAAAAATTAACCCGGTATCTCAAAAATTGCGGAAGTTAGAGGTTGTACAAAATATCGCGTACTTGGAACATTCTAAACACGTTTTGGAACATTCTAAACACATTGGCATAGAAAACTCAAAAAAAAATTTTGTCACAAAAACAAATTCCTCTATGAGGAAGCAAAATAAAAAGATTTGGAAGATTGATACAAACTACATAAAATAACCACAGCTTGGCAGATATCGAGCAACGCGTTCGTATCACGTTTGTGATTACAAAATATGTAGCTTGATTGAATAGCTACTTCATTGTCCAAGTTTTCAAAACTTTCTCGGCAAACATCTTTAATATTAAGCAGTTTTTTAGATCCAAAGTATGCAAATTTAACAATAGGTTAAATTACAGGAGCTTTTTACTTGTTACCTTTAATGATGCATGCTTTTCATTTGATAATTGTTTAATCTCAATTATTTTTGGCAATAATTTAGAAAATCAATATGAATGAATAACTGCTGTAATGATTTATATTTGCCATTGTTTCGTACATAGGTACCCATTACAAATGTGTAGATTTTGTATATAAAATTTTAATATTGTCTTTTCAAGATTTCATGTCGACTTTTTGTAGTGATTTTGATTTAAAAAAGTCAGCACAATTTCTGTTTTAGTGCGATATCGTTACGTTGGAGTTTGCTGATCTTAAAAAGAAAATTTTACATTTATGTCGGCTAATCAAATTAACACGGCACGAATCTAATGACGCGAAGCAAATCCTTAATTGCTCTTACGAAACAAAAATAAAGAACTTTTTATTTTGCAATTAAACATTTCTAGCAGTGACGTGAATTATTATTAGGATGAATAATACATATATTTTTATATCAAATCAATTAAATTGGATAAAAACGTCAATTCTTATAAAAAAGGATTCTATTCTTGCTTGGTGACAAATTCAATATATAGAAATAACTGCATCCATCGAAAGCTGCACACTTCAATTTGTACTTGTAAATGACTCACCTTAATGGTTTTCCAGCGGCATCGCTACTGATGGCTGATCGTTTTAAATTGATTGCAAACCCCGCGCGTGATATCCATTTTAGTGAATCATGATGGAATTTATTACATTTTTCCACGATCATCGATTACAATGGAGAAGTGGCTCGTCGGCAATATTAAGTATAATTTGAGTGCTGAACGAAAAGAGCGGCATGAAAAAAGAATCGCTTTTTTCATTGCTTCCTCGCCAAGTATATTCCGTCTTATTTTCTCTCGTAGAAGCAGCGTCGTCTGTGCATATAGATGGTGATTATTCGCAAATCTTTCTATTACCACGTTACAGACGGTACTTACATTATACGATATATCCACTCGCTTTCTCTGTGCTTCCGGGCGTTTTAATTAATGATTTTACTGTAAACGCTGTGCATCGTCTCTTGTCATTTCTCGGCGAAACTTGAAATGAGTCTCATTTCTCGGGATGCGAAACGTGTTTGAGTGAAACATTTCTCACTTCGTGTCTATTTCTCGAGGAAACTGCCAAGAATGTGTCTCATCGGGATTCGATAGCATACCCCTCTTCCGCTTTTATGATATATTAGATAGAATTACAAAGAGATTCTGTATGGAAAAGACAAATTCATAAAATGAAATTAACGAGACTATTGTCTCAAAGATGCTTTTATCAAAATTTCAATACAAAATTATCTAACTTTTATATTTTTAAACAAAAAATTTATCTTGCTTAATATTAGAATTATAATGTACACATATAACGATTGAAATATTGCAATTAAAAAATATGTTTTAATTGACAGTTTTAGCAAATAATAATATAAAGCTAGCTTGCGCGTGAAATAATCGAACGCATAATTAAAAAGACATTTTTTATCGAATTTTTAATTTAGTTTAAATATCGAATAATCTCTCTGGACTTTATATAACAAAATCCTAAAAAATATAAAAAATGATAATATTATATAGGTGGACTTACAAAAGATATATATAATTGTTTGGTGGTGATGCGTATAGCTTTTCCGGAATATTTCGAGCAGATATTTCACTGATAATTTTTATGGCTGAATTGGCGGCCAGCGCTTAAATGGAATTATTGCAAATTTTTACGGAATCGTCGTGTGTGGTCCGATCGATATATGACAATATAAATTGGATATGGCTTTTAATTGTGACATCTCTATCGATGAACACAAAATTTAAATATTCAAGCTAACGACATTGTTATGTAAAACAAAGACCGCATTAACCCATTTGTTGGTCTTAAATTCTTGCTTTTGGGTATTTTTTTCGCTTATCTTGCATCACACTGTGAATAGATATGAAAATGCCTCTAACACCTATATTATACGTAATATTTCTGTTGTTATCTAAAAAGATATTTATGGCTGAAGAAATTGTTTTATTTTGCTTGTATAAAATTATTTTTGAAACATTACAATATTTGCATAAACATCAAGACTTTTTTATGTTATTTTTATCATAATTTTGATTTTACATATTTAATTTTCTTTTGTACGAGAACAATATTTTGCGGTGCTTTATTTGTATATATTATATACAACATTATATTATATTGCTCGGAAAGTCTGTTAGCGACAAGACGACTGACGTTGGAATTAAACTTTACATAGATATAGTTTGCGATATATCTTGCGGCACTATAACTGTAACCGCGTCTTAATTTGATATCGACATTTAGACCATTTTAGGTTTCATTTGAAGTTTACTATCTTGAATAATTACTTTGCAACATTGATTATTATATAAAATTGTTGCATTTGAAAGCTGCATTAGTCACTCTGTATATTAGTTTTTATATGATACCTGCCGCTTAAATATTGAATTGGTAAAAATATAGGACAGAACTTCACTTTGCAAGCTTTCACTGATTGAATTGTTGAAAGTCATCGAATTCCACATTCAATTAAACTGTAATCATGAATTCGAGTTGCGTGAAAAAGAGTAAATTGCTTAATTATCGAGTACTTTGATGTTACATACGCTAGGAAGGAGCGTAACTAACATAACGCAGAAAATTATGCGGTCTGCAGACATTCGTGCGACATAATTAGATAATCCGAGCACATACACCGGAATTTCCGCTTTACATTCGACGATGCGTTTAAAACGATAGAATCATTATATTGTTTTTCCTGAGAAAGAAAAATTAAAATTATTAAAAATTCTGAATGTTTGCTCTATGTATCTAGTTTTTTAATATATAAAATTGCCTTATAATGATAATGCTTATAAAAAATTATATTTTTTTATTATGAGTTAATAGAACTAATTATAATTAACTTAAATACTTTATTAACTTAATAACTAAATTAAAATTTATTAACTAAAAACTATATATAAATAATGACATTCGTATAATATAATGCAAAAACATGTATCTTGACGAATATCCATCAAGATTATTTCAACGTTTAAGATTATTTAAAGAGCTTGAATGAATGACTTGTATTTCAGAGAACACTAATGAATCATAATTTGATTTCTATTGTGAATGTAAAACATTTTCTAAACGCAGAAGGGATTATCACAGACGTAGAATTTGTAACAAAAGTCGTACTTTACGTTCTATTTCACCACTACACTATAACTATTTCGTTTTTTTTGCAAGTGAAACCTTACACGATCCTCTCCAGTGAATACAAAATAAAATCGTTATTACAGCGCTACAGTTTTATTTCCAATTTCCGCATGTACGCAAACAGGGTATCCGGTGTAAATTCACTTTCACGATAAGTTTTGCATAGTTTTGCACGAGAATATTCGTACATTTCATATTCATTGTATCCACAGAACATTTCCTCTAAAAAAAATTGTACTGTATTGGGAAACGGGGAATATATCTTGTTACGCAATAACACGCAATATCCATTTCTTCTGCAAATTAATAT